TCTATCTATCTATCTATTCATCCATCTCTCTATCTATCCATCCACCATTTAGACTAAATATTCACATTGTGAATTTCAATGTCTGGGCTTACGGACACTTGAATGACACCACAGGAGCAGTATGTAGTCATCTCATGTTGTTTTGTTGTTGTTGTTTTTGTATTGATTCTATTGGTTTGTATTTGGCTGCATCGCTGTTTACCCCTTTACCCCATTATACCCCAAACTCCAAAAGTGTATTGTGGACTCAAACACTTCACCCACCCCTCCATCGGCATGGTGGTGAGTAGATAAGGAGTGCATTTTCATTTTTGGGTGAACTATCCCTTTAATTTGTGCATTAGTGTGACAGGCTGAATCACTGATGTGTCCTAAAATGGCCATTTCACAGCCCACAAACTGTTTTATTTCACTGACAGTTCCATCAAGTCTTCTAAGCCCAAAGTGCCTGAAATGCAAATATTAAAATCATTTGCAGCGATTCAGAGACATTCAAACCTTCATATTTCTCCCCTGTGCGCTCGTTAAAGCTTTGACCAGCTCAGTGAAAGACTAACTCCTGGACACGTCATTCTATCATACTGGAAACTAGGCAATAATCTGATTAATTGTGTCTGTTAAAGGCACAGACTTGATAATCCTGACTGCTCTTCAGCGTCTGCGTAATGTGACACTGGTAATATTACTGGTAATAACCTTTTGCTAGGTTTAGGTTCCATTGTAATATCTGACGGATCTCTTTGAACGCCTGAACTGATGAGGCTCCTGTATCTTCCACACACCGTTTTCTTTTTTGTCCTTCTCTGAGCATGAGCTTGTTGTGCACTGCCTGAATTGACAGAGCTCTTTAAGTGTCTGTGAGTCATCGCATTGCCCACCGTTGATCAGACCTTGTGTTTGCTTGATAAATACAATATAAAGTAAATACTCTCGGCACCACACAGTGGTTTAATCAGCTGCGCAGGCTCCTGGATCGAGACTCGAGAAGAATGAAAATCAGCAGCAACCTGAACTATTGAATCCTCAAAGACTGAATACTTATAAATACAATGTTCTATCGTATCGTATATTTAGTTTTCATAGTACATATTAAAATGCCTTACAGCCCATTGTATTTCCTTTTCTTTTCTTATACAAGTTTTCTATGCGATTCACATTGCATAACACAGGGCCCAAGCTAAATATAGACCATGTCTGGAAAAGAAGGCAGTGACAGTATTCTCTGCCGCAGCTCTGTGCTCTCATCATTACCCCAGGGTGTCGGTTTGACAATACAGTCAATTAATGATGACAGAAGAGAAATTCTCAAGCTCTGTGAATAGTTAGTTACCTGAGCTACAACCAAAATCTCCAGTGACGTCTATCGATTAATCTATTTTTATATCAACTATGCAGAGAAAATCCAGTTTTGAAATCAGATAAATGATCTGTGTTTGTATAGCACCTCTTTATTCTTGATGACCACTCAAAGCACTTTATGGTTTTGCCATCATCCCATTCACACAGTGCATCTACGCTCTCATGGGGTTCAGTATGTTGCCCAAGGACACCTCGGCACACGGAATGGCGGAAGCTGGGTTCAAACCGCAGACCTGGTCAGTGGACAACCCACTCTTGCTCCTGAGCCACAGCCACTAAGAGAAGGCTCTTAGTGAAATGCAAGCTTTGAGCAGCTCAGGGGTGAGAGTGGGTGGTTGTCCGCTGACCAATAAGAGAACGCAAGTGTGAGCAGCTGAGCAGAAATCTGAAAATGTCAGTGAGGGTCAAACAGACAAGGTACTTCGAAAAACTCGTCTGAATTTTCCTGCGTCTAACTCGGACAATCTGTGAAAGGCGAACTCTAGAAAAGTTCCAGATCAAATTCGACATTTAAAGAAAAGTGAATATGTCAACGTAGTACTCTTACTACATATTGCACATAATTATAATATTATATTCTGTAATTATATTGTATATTGGCTGAATAAATTCTTAAAACAGCAGGAGAATATAGAGAATAGAGTTCAGCTTTGGTTGAGGACTGATACACATGTTGTGCTCTACTGTGTATTTACAGCAGCGGAGTGGTGTTTGTGGTTGTGAGTCAAAATAAACTACAATGCCCATGTTCATCATTATGAAGGAACATCACCCCCAGAGCAATGGAGTGGCTCACTGAAGTGTTTTCATAGTTATTATGGAGCTCTGTGGCACAGAAAATTAAGCTGTAACAGGTTTTTGTTTTCACAGGAAATACTTGTTGGTAGCATCAATTTATTTTTGTTTTCGTCTTTTCGCTACATTTGCCGAGAGTAAGAAAAATAGAGAATACCCCGAGGCTTATCCTGTAAGCTGAACAAAATTGTCACCGCCTGGCGACTCCTGTATATTCTTATAACCTGTCAAGTTCAATGATTTCCCGGTTTTTGCAGCTGTTCCTCACACTTGCAGGACCTGCAGCATCACATAAAATCAAATCAGCTGTAACAATATGCTTTCACAGCTTCCATCGCTCTCCTGACGGTACCACAAACACAGGCGGCCCTCGCTGCCTCTCTGCAGGCCGCACAGCACGGACGGCATGGGGGAGCCGTGGTATCCCGAGGACACAACAGCAGCAATTACACTTAACTCTTGGCTTCTGAGTGGCAAGAAAACTCATTCAGAAATAACCTGTAGCATGGTGTAATGTTAAGCGCTGGAATCTTTGCCTCAGGTGACCGTGAGGGAGCCGGGCCAACACAACAAGCAAGTTGCTATTTTCAACGTAAACTGTTCTCCTTTGTGCAATTCACAGGGCTCAACCAATATGGTAATCTGCTTTCTGAGACATAGCATGCTAACTGGATGAGACAACATCGGCATGGATGACGGGTTTACCACTACTAAGTCTCCAGCTGTGGAACAGATATACGGACCGTTCGTCAGGTCTGATTTCAAGGACAGAATGTTTAAATCATGCCCAATGGATTTTTTTCTCCCCCTCACAGTTTGATCAGGTACAGGGATGAGCTCTGGAGCGGATGGTTGTGTGGAAATATTCACATAATGGACTCGGAAGTCAGTTAATCAATATTTATTGATCCTGCACAGCAAGTTCTTGCCCTCAGAACTATTCAGTTTTGAAAGTCAGAAAAATGCATAGGTGCTCATCATTTTCAGCAGTATGTGGTTTGAATTACTGACCACACAACATACACACAAACTTGTTGAGAACTATTTATATTTGCTGTAACTTTTAAAGAGCTTTTGTTTTCTTTTACTGTGATCGTCAAGACGTCTCTCTGGAGACTGAAGTCTGGTTCTGGCAGAAATGGCTGCACATTTACATAAGCAAAAACATAAAACATGCAGAAGTGCTGCATGTGAGAGCGATGCGATGAAAACATTGCCTGGAGCTACACATAAAAGAAGTGGATTTGCCTAAAACGGGATTTAAAATGTCTATTACCTCAGATTTAAGAGCATTTAAGAACATTTTATGTGTACATTCAAATCATTACAATAGCATAAAGGGTTATTGTTCCTGTTGCTAATCTTAAAAACTGCCCACAATAAATGCAGGCTTCCATCACCCATTCATTTTCTATGCTGCTTATCCATGAGGGTCCCAGGGGGGCTGCAGCCAATCCCAGCTGACGTTGGGCCAGAGGCGGTGGAACGACATGGACAGGTCTCCGGCATATCCCAGAACTGAAATATAGAGACAAACAACTGTGCCGTCCTCCAGCATGCAGACCTTCCCATGTTTTTATATGCACAGATGATGCCTGATGATACAGAAACATGTTTTTCACACTGATACTCAAATTCACCCACTGCCTCCCTGTACGTGTGTGTGTGTGTGTGTGTGTGTGTGTGTGTGTGTGTTCATCTCTCTTTTTCAGATACTGACTTTTCCACCTGTCCACAGCTGGTGCTCCTCTCCTCTCCTATATGAATACATTTTATTCGTAAAGCACCTTTCATAAGAGAAGTGCAGCTCAAAGAGCTTCACATACAATTCAGATATTTTATATAAAAATCTAGAAACATGCTACTAAACATGTTAAAGTGTAATTCATATAAGAGGACAGATTTTAAGTGACATAAGAACATGTTAAGATGACATTTAAAAGAAAAGGAAAAAATAAATACATCACTGAAGACAAAATACATCAGGACAGTGATTTAACTTTAATCCAATCTTCTCCTCGCTCTTTACATTTCCCCCCAGCAGAGAATCTTAAAGGTGAATTACAACCAGAGTGAAAGAATCCTAAGTGAACCTCTCACACTATAAAGTCAGGATAGATAAAGACTTTAAAGTGACTGAGGTGTAATTATCAGCCCTCTGTTGAATCTGTTCCTTGAAGTATGTGCTATAAATCCTGGTGATGAGATGTAATATGTCACGTTAAGATGTTAATTGGAAGTAATGGTAAATATTCAGTGCGTGTTTCAACTTATTCCCTCAGTAGATCACATTTGCTCATTTCTTGTGGGAAGGGAGTTTTGGTTTGAGAGCAATGGCGTTGTTCCATGATACAACAATTCACATAGTTTGAGGAACTTTATCAATTTTAAATCTATGGCTTAAAATCTCTCAGCCAATCACGTCATTGCCATCAAACTTTAAATCTCACCGTCAGCTGTCATTTCAGTGATCTGATGAGACCCTCCTCCAGTGTGTAAATCCAGAGCCCTGGGGAACAACGCTGGACAAGTCCTTACAATATCCTTTCCAAGTCACTTTTCCTTGAACCCCAATGGAAAAAACGTCCCAAGGTCAAGACAAAATGTGAGGGAGAAGCCATGAGGAGTTAGGAGGTAGGAAAGGAGAACCACGGAGAAGGAAAATCCGACTCCACTTACACTCAGCCTTGTTTATTCATAATAGAAGATACACAGCCTGAGTGGTGCTGAATGGCGCTGAAGGCTGTACGCTGCGTAACGTTTCCTGTCCAAAGCAGACAGACACATGTTGAGAAAAAGATGTTTTTAGTTCACATAGAGGGAACATCAGTACCTCACAGGAATACAAAACTAAATCCATTTTATTGAAGGTAAAAATGAAACAAACAGGACTGAAATGTTGAACTAATACAATAATGTGAGGAATATATGAAAACCTTACGTGAGGATTGTGTCCTCATCAAGTCACATCAGTCCATTCATACAGGGCTTCTGAATGAATCACGACCGTGACTGAATTCCACCTTGATTAAACAAAAACAACTGTTTTGTTTCAAGCGAATGGCTCGTGACATGGCTGCAACATCACAAGAGAAACACAAATAATAGGAAACAAGTCCATTTCCCCATCCACATCCTTTGAAGCAAGCTTTGCGTAATGTAAAATGGGATTTTTGTGACTGCTTGTTTCGCCGTGTGCCCATGTGCTGCACATACGGCGAGTGATGCAAAAGGATGAGCGACTCCGTCCTTCAGATGCAGGTGAAAGCTGGACCCTTTTCACACGCCTGCAGTCACAGAAGCCTTTGGAAGAAGACAGCCTTGTCATATTTGGTCAAGAAACACATATTTCAAAGGATGCTCTCCCTGAACTGGGCCACAGTGAATGAACGTACACCAGCATCGAGTGGGTGATGCACAGCCCCGAGACTCTTCAACATTATTAATTGAGTTACACCACAGGATGCAGAACCCTCATCCCTGCACATTATACGCCATGCTTTGATTAGCCATGTCTTTACATGAATAGGCTTAGTCATTTATGTGTGAGGCCATCGAGGGACAGTTCTCCTTCCCTTTACATGTTTCTGCTACTCATAAATACGGGAGACAATACAGTCTGAGATCCCGTGACTAATTCCTGCTGACTGGCCTGATCGTTTGGACAGAGCCTGTTTGGGACGGCTGTCTGTGGTGTCGCCTGCAGAAACGCTTCCACCTTATGTAACAGCCTTTGAGCTCAAACCTTGTATTTATGAAGATGAATCTACTGTTCACGTTACGTGTGTCATTTTTTTAACAATCCTTTCTTTCCGTGCACGCTGTTTCTTCCATTTCGTGTTAATTGTTATCGTTTTGTTAATTTGTTTTCTGCACCGTGCAAACCTAATCACGAGTTGCTGCTGTGTCAGCTGAGACTCGGAGAGGAAAAAAAGAAATCTCCTTAATCTCGTCTGGATCAGCCGGGGTAAGTAATGGTTAATAAAAGCGCCTGCTTCATGTGTCCTCGTGGACGGAGACGAGCCTCTGCTTTTCTTCTACCTGATTGCAACAGTTGACACCAGAGGCCCATAGCTTTCTGACTGCCCTCTGGTGTCAACTTCAGTAGGTGGCTGTTTTTGCCTGCGAGGGTGCAGTCGGTCGGCCAAATGCGCTCGCTGCATGTGGTATAAATTGCACAATATAATCGCTGGTGGGAGGAGAAAGTACAAAGGATGATGCAGCATGAATGTTGCAGGGTATAGAATTGTCAACAGACAATGTAATAACTGTCTTGAGTAATAAAGACATACATTGAAGATAAATAAAAAATCTTCTTTTGAGCAACGTCAATAACAAGTGTGGATTCAGACTCCTTCATAATGATCTGCTTTCAGCTTTGAGATCAGTGCGAATTATATTAAAGAGGCTGCGATGACCTATTATTTTCATTATGTGTAATTATCTCAGACAATCAGGTTGTGTTTTCACTCCTGTCTCTTTGCTGAGACACAAACCATCTTGCTGGAAGGATGAAGAATGTTGCCCAGGAAGACGCCACCAGATTTTAGTGCAGATCCGAATCCACTGTCTTTAACACTGACGGAAAGTGGTGTCCTTCAACATTTTTGCTATTTTCCCAGGAGATAATTAAGGGGACTCACGTTTATGAGTGTGTAATTTCGTGTGGCTTGATTGAATGGGGACTGTTGAGCCTTGGAGGAGTCAGGTGCTCTACTGTGTGACATTTTAGTTATTTAATGAATTCATCTTTTGGGCAATAAAATATCAGAAAGTATCGCAGGTGAAATGAAACAAATTTCCTCAGAAAACTATGTGGCTGCAAATGTTATGATTTATGAATTCTGGACCTTCAGACTTTTCAATTAGTCTGGTCTGAAATGCTTCAGACCACAGTCTGGACCAAAACATTTTGGTTTTGGATGGTTCAGACTTTCTGTCTAATTGCAGAAAGTTCAGACGGAATTAAACAGTAGAAGAAAAAGAAGAAGAAGAAATATCAGTGATGTAATGTTTGATGTTCATCTCCAAACATCAACATTTGTGTTTTCAAACTGCGCTCAGACATCCAATGCTTTATTTCCTTCACACTATCAAACAGCAGAATGTCTGACCTTCACTGTCTCAGCGTGTCCTGGTGGTAACAGCACGAGTCGGTTCAAGTCATGTTTAATATCTACCTGGCAACAGGTCCTGTCATCACATGGTCGCTACTTGACTCCTAATAAAATCTGCTGCAGTGAACTTGTTTCCTCCTCCTTGAACAAGCTCGGCCAAGGTCAGCGCAAAAAAAAAAAAAAAAAAATCTGCAGGGTAACCTTGTCAAACTAAGCTGCATGTGTCCCCAGAGTTTCTTTAGATTAGACTAACTCCAGGGTTGGTGATGTTACTTTCAAACTGTAATTAATCACACATAAGTCAGGGAAAGGTTTAATGGAAATTTCAAGCTGTAATACGTTTTATGACTTCTGCTCTGGTATGTTAGAATTTCACATGATCTATATTTCATCACTTATTCAGAGGTTTTTCATTTTCTCCGTAGTTTGAACAGTTCAGAGGAGGAAAAAAGTGGAATTAGGGAAAAAGACAACAGGAAATTAAAACCTGTGCACACACACACACACACACACACACACAGAACTGCAAGTTCCGTCGAAGCACGCAGACACGTGAAGAACATACATGCGTCATATAAAGAACCCAGATCCCAGGATTCAACCCTCTTGCTGAGCGGCGGCGGTGGTAACCAGGGA